CCTCAGAATGCCCAGAGATGGGAAGCCATTCTTAATGGAAGAAGGATACTGTGAAGAGAAACTCAGAGAACGAGAACAGCCTAGATGAGCAGATAAGAGATACAGGCAGAGCTTTTGGTTTTTTAATGCTTTCAATTAAAAAATGAAAATTAAGCAAGGATGTGGTGAGAGCAGCTTAAGTCTATCAGAGTCCGTGTTTGTAGAGTTCTATGACCTGACAGTGAAGAAGTCTATGCTTTCACAACAGAGAGGCTCTAAAGAAGGGGAAAGGGGGCCAGCAGATGGCATGGAGTTTGAGGCAGCTGATCCCTCCCACATGACCGACTGTGCATTTGAAGTCCTGGACCCAGAGGCCTGAAATTCACACTGGGCACGTGAGCATATGTACCTAAGTCTTAAGAGGAGAATGGAAAAGGGATTACGATGTGGCCATCCTCTCTGGGTGGAGGGGTGATTTCTCATTTTCTCTCTTTCTCTGTCTCTGTCTGGTGAGCATATGAGCCCTACAGCAAATCAAAAGAAAAAAAAAGTGGGAAGGAAATTCACCTTAATTAAGCAGGAAATAGAAAACCAATATGCTCGTCAGAGCAGAAGAGCAGGATTTTCTAATGGATAGTTAGAGAAGGTTGGCCTGGGAAATAGTGTGAAATATGCACAAGAGAAGGGAAATGAGCACCAGGAAGCCATTGGTGATCGGTATGAGCAGTCTAGTGTGTCTGCAAAGGTGCTAGGAGAGAGGAAGAGAGAGGAAATAAAGGATATGAGGCAGGTGGAAAAACGGGAAGTGGAGGAATATGGTTATTTATTGGTCCCAGGGGGTTAATGGGCAGAGTCAGTCAAGGCCTATTTAAAGCTTTTAAAACCAAAAACCTGTAAACTGGAAGTTGTAGGGCAGAAAGGATGATAAATGTGACCATGTAAGTTTTAAGGAAATGCAGTTTAGGAGACACAATATGTCATCTGTGATGTGGAATTGTGGTTCAAGCAATAACTCAAAGTGGTTAAGCCCTGAACCTGCTCACAAGTATAGACACAGAAAAAAGATTTTTTAGCTTATAATTAAGGTCACTATTTTGCATAAAGCTCTGTATCTGTTTTGTAACACACACATACACACACACACACATCTGTACACACTTTTCCCCCTAGAATTGGGCTTTAAAAATGGTAGTAGAATTCAAATGAGTAGAGAAGACAGGGGAAAATACCCCAAGCACAGTGCATATGCTTTACATTAACAAATATCTGAAAGTCACAAACGAGGAGGATAAATATAGGATAAGAATGAAGCAATACTAGAAATGCAAATCAGAAATATTACTGCCACTTGTGATGTCTTCCATGGTGCCAGGAAGAGGGTTCACTGCTTTAGGTTGGACAGTCCAAAGGGCACGTATAGCTTATTTACTATTTTGGTAAATATTCAATCCCAGTTTTAGATGATAAAATTTTAGTGCCCAAGAGTAAGTCTAACCTATTGGTTTGCTCTATAGAAATGCATGCCCAGGGAGCTGGATAGTGGCAGAGCCATAAACGTGATGCTCGTATAGGGCTGGCCATGTAGAAAGATTCCTAGTTAATGTCCAGAGACCTCCCTGAGTAGGCCAGGCACACACGTGCCCAGGGTGCAGGGCTGCCTGAGTCGGGAGAGGGTCCTACTGTCAATTCCCTGTTGGGAGTCCGGTCTCCTTATGGGTCTATGTGTCTCTGCCATTCATGGAATAAAGAAATAAACTAAAGGTAAAAAGAAATGCATATTTGATAAGGAATGAGGTATTTCTTATGTGGTCTGAATTTCTTATTTTTATGATGTGAATTGGCATTTAAAAATGCAAAGATATCATTCTACTTCTTTCACATAAGTCATTAACCTGTGAAGACTGGCTTGTGGGGGCAAGGTAAACATCTGTCACCATTTGGGCTCTCGATCTTATGTTTGAACCTACTTCCCACCATAGAAGTTATGGAGGCGGCATGACCCTTCCCCACTACATTTTGCAGCTAGGGCCTCAGTTTACAAATTAGACAACCCCGAAGTGTGGGAGACCTGCAGCTACTGACACAGTTGGGGAGCCACAATGTAGAGGGGTTCTGAGGGCAGCAACCACTCACAATTTCCAGGAGCAGGAGCGGTGTGTGGGCTTAGCTGTCAAGTGGGGGCAGTGCAAGTTGCAGCCTCCCATGTTTAGAGGCAACCACAGGAGGAGACCCTGGGCTGGTGCAGTGGCCTGGCTTTGGTTTAGTATCTAGCTGTCCTTTCATAGTGTCACATTTTTGGGTCCATTTTTCTGCCTTTCCAGTGTTTTTGTGAGGCACATACTATGATTACAGCAAAATTTCATCTTGAACTGAGCAGAGCCAGTCTCTCCACGAAACTAAGGACTGGGGATTGCTCATCTATCCATATTTTCTGTGGTTTTTAAAATAGGCGAGGTATGTTCTCACTCTCCATTTGGGGTCTGTGGGACTTCGCTCTCCCCAACAAGAGAAGCAGAGCTGAACTGGTGATCTCGGAATGTGTGCAGTGATCATCCAGCTGCCTTTTAACAGAATGTTAATCAAACGTATACCTGTTAACTTGGAAATGGAGAAAACGCCACAGCTCTGTGTGTTGACAGTGAGTTTAATGCCAGGGTGGTGATGCCATCACAGCTTTGCTCTGGCAGGCTCAGCTGGAAACCCCTCACCAGGACAGAGCCACAATAGAACACCCACTCTGGGACACAGATGAGAACTGTGTGAGGAAGGAGGAAGGCTCCCCTCTGCTCTCAAGGAACATCTGTTTAGTCACTTGTTTGTTAATTCTTTCGATAAATATTTACTGGACACTTGCCCACTAGGTAAAGAGACACATTCCTGGACTTAATGAGTGTGTGTTCTGGTTAGGAAGACTTCCAGGCCATCAAATGAATATCATACAGCAGGGTCATTCATGTAATATAGCTATGAACAAAGTGGAACTAAAGTGATGGAGGACCCGTGTTCATCAGGGACTCAGTCAATGTTTCAAAATAAGAGGCTTTTGCTCTGTCTGGTTGGATGAATGGGAACTGGTGGGACAATCCTGGCAGAGGGAAAAGTTTGTGCAAAGGCCTGGAGGTATAAAACAAGCTAGAGGCCAGCGAGTGGCATAGTGCTTAAGGCAGCTGGATTCCCACATGGCTGACTGTACTTTGAGTCCCGGGTGGGGGGGCTTGAAAGTCACACCATGCTTTTGTGCATGCGTGTGTGCCCATGATCCAGAGAGGAAACTAGAGAAGGAATCGCAGCATAGCCATTCCTCCTGGGCAGTGATTCTCTCTGTCTCTGTCTGGTGAGTACATGTGCCCTATGGCAAGAAAAAAAAAAAAAAAACCTAAAATAAGTAAGTAAATATATAAATAATAACAAAATAAAAGAAAACAAACAAGTTGACAAAGAATTGCCTGTGGTCAAAATGTCGAGTAAATTGGAAGGAGAAGGTGAGAGACAAGAATTTGACTTTTATTGTATAAAATTGATGGGGCCCCATTGCACGACTTTAGCAAAGTCATCTGTAACTTCCCTTTTACTTAGATGTTAATTTTTTTTTCCTGGCAAAAGAGCTCAAGCATTCAATTTTGTAGCATATGCAATGTGCTGAACACTACCTAGCACTCTGAGAACACACTACACTTAGTAGTTCTGGCATTATTTATAATGAGGGCACATGGGTGGCAAGATTGTTCTAGATTTTCTTATAGGATATTCACCTTTTCAGAAAGAGGGAAGCTTTGTCCTTCTTAGTGTTGGCTCTAGCTCTATGCCTTGCTTAAGCCTGTCTATCCATCCTACGGAAACTCTCTTGAGGTCAGCTTCACGAGGAGTTAAATGGAATATCAGCTCTCCAAGTTGGCACTGCATATTTCACAAGCCCTGTATTCATGGAGGATATGAGAGCCTGCAATTCACTGATCTTCCTGTCAGGGGCTGGGAACCTTTCCTTTCACATTTTGGGAGGATGGAGAAGAAGCTGTGTAGTGGGGGTGGCTGAGTGGGCAAAAGAAGATGAGAAAATTCAGCAGAGGCAGGGAAGAGACACTCATTTGCTAAAGATAGGAATATTGTGCAAGTGAACAAAGTTTATTTTTAAAGGGCATCTCTTTATGACAATACAGGAAAAAATCTCTAAAGTTTATTTGGAAAATGTGAGACAGCTACATCTACTTACAAAGCTAGCACGTCC